ACAAAAGATCAAGATGTGGTTGGAGTTCCATTCCTACAGGACAACATAACTGGGTTTTAGCCAAGTCGAACAAACGTACGTACTCATTAACCTTTGCCAGTGTTTCCCAAACTTTTTTTTTTTTAAGTCACAAACCTTCACAACCCAAGTCAATAGACATTATTCGTAAACTCCTTGGAAACATCATGCAAGATGACCAAAAAATAAATCTCTTGCGACCCACCTGAGGGTCGCGACCCTGACCTATGCTACCAAAGTATCAAGTAGGACATAAAACATCATGCGACTAAACAAAGCCAAAATCACCGTATAAAGCCACGTAAAAACGTATTCGCTCGCTCAGTTCGCCAACTAGTTTCTCGTGCAAACCAGAACGGAATATCATAAGTTGAGGACGTTGTAAACCGAGGACCCCCCGTAGTGAGATGTGCAAACCAGTGGGCAAAAAAGACAGAACAAAACAGGCGAAGTTACAACGGAATATCGTAAGTTGAGGACGATGTAAACCGAGGACCCCCCGTAGTGAGACAACTCCCGTCATACTGTCTGACCTTTTTTTTTAATCAAAGTTTGTTTCCTCATCGTCTAATTCCAGAAGAATCCAGACTCTAACAGAACCTCAGGGTATGAAAGGGGAACGAGGGAAAGAAACCCCAGTGAGTTCTTCTTCCATGGTGAATCTTTAGGTTCTCTCTCTCTGTCTGCCTGCCAGAATCTTTGGAGCTGCTGTGTTGCAGAGGACATCAAGGGCTTTGCGTTGCATGAGCTCTATTTCTTCCCCCTCTCTTTCTCCCTCAGCCCCCTAACTCCTTTTCCTCTGTGTCTCCGCAGCTCTTTCTCATGCCCATGCTCTGAGGAGCTTTAGAGACGCGGCCTGGTAATGGGAGCAGCAGTCAGTCAAGCTGCTGTTTCAAAGGTGATGCTTTGTTTCATGCTTGCTTCCCACAAATCCCACCGAGCCCGGCACCTGTCAGGTTGTCGCTCTGAAACTCAGCATCTAACGCCAGTCACCCAAACCCCAAAGGCACAGGGCAGATGGAGGGGTTGACTCGTCAGCTGCCTGTTTAAAATTAGGTCAATCCCTTTTGTAGGTCTGGTGTTTTTTTTAAAAATATGAAAAAAGAAAAGATTCAGGTGTTTATGTCTAGACCATTAATGTATGAAAGCAGAGAGTGTAGGCCAGGGTTTTTCAAACAGCACATATTCTACGTTAAATCCAAAAGAAACAAATGCCCCAAAGTGTATAGTAATGAAATATAATGATCATCTTACTCAGTGTGAAACCTGAGCCCATTCAGTGGAACACAATCGTAATATACTCACAGAAATTGAAGAAAGACACCTCTGCAAGTCTCTCTTTTTTTTAAGTTGTTACAGCCACCTGCTGCCACCTATTGGAAATACATTTAACTGCCCTGCCTGTTGTCAGACCAATAAAGTGAAACTGGATAATTCTGCCGTCCAGCTGATGTTCTCTTATGGCACATTAATGTGCCACAGCACAGTGGTTGAGAATCACTAGCGTAGGGTTACAGGAGTTCAATTATATTTTTGAACTCTGGAGAACTTCTCTCAAAACTGTCAAAGCACTGATGGGGTTGAGAGGTTCATTTTTATGGAGCTGGGTAATAAATTGTCAAAATAAATTAGATTTTTTTTGTTGTGCTCTTTTACAGGAACAATATAATCTGATACATCAGAAGAGCCAGGATCTCTGGCCACACTGTGCAGACAGGGGTCCTCGTATCTCGGTGGTTTTATAAGCGTACGTCTGACTCACTCCAGCTTTACAGTCACACTGACCTGCCTGTTAGAGCTCTGTTATTAAAGGTCTATTTATACAGCTGCAGCTTCTGCCATGACTCGTACTGGATAAACCAGAGAGCCATGGCATGTTGTTGGTGGATGGCTTTACAATGGCACAACATAAATGCAAAACAACAACACGAGGCATTTAATGCAAGGCTACAATGTACAAATTACTGCCAAATTCAGGCATTTGCCGGCCCACCTCCTCTACAAACCCAACATTAAGTCAAGGGTTCGTGTTGTTCCCTCTATCAGCGACGAGGACCAGAACAGATCGGTCTGTTATGTGGCTTAAATATCATGTTTGACTGACAACACTGCTCGCATTTAGGAAACAAAAACGAATCGCGGCGGAGACGAGTGTTGTTTGATGTCTTTCCAGCTAAGCTAACGTTTGACTCAGATGAAAGTCACTGATTAGTTCAAGTGTTGTCATCAGCTGATCTGCTCTTTCAACATTTGGTGTTTTTTCATGAAAAGACGGAGGAATAAAGAACGGCTGTCGGCTGATTTCAATTCAATTTACTCAGTCCCTGGAACCGATTTCGCAAGAGGAGATTTGTGTTTTGTCTTTAGTAGTCATGTGATACTCAGACGATGGCTTACACCATGCAATATCAATCTATGTTCCAACATTCAGACGTGTTGAGAAGTGGAAATACTTACATAGTGTCTGTATAATTTGACTAACAGCAGGTTAACGTTTGTTGGTGGACGTTATGCCAACTCTGCCCCCATCTGATCCCCGTGCTGTCATTTTGATAAGAATGTGTTGACTTTAGAAGACGAGGTCCTGAAGCTCTGTCCGGGCCAGGGATCAACGCCGCTCCTTCTCTTACTCAACAAACTGACTGACAGTTCGGAATGAGGAGCCTTCCCTGAACAAATATTATCTTTTTCCTCCTCCATAACCTTCAAATAGAAAACACATTATCTCCACATGTTTTTTTTTTTCTTCTTTGCTATACTCAAAAATATAAAAAATAAAAAATAAAAAATACGAAATGACTATGTCCAGGAAAGATAAAAAAAAATGTAAGAAAGCTTGAATTCTATTGCTTTTCTTTAAACCGTGAACCACTATAGTTGCAAGACCAACTGTTGTTCTAATATGTGTAGAACAGTCAGAGATGATAGGACATGCTGCTGTGTTCAATCTGCGGAAGTCTCTTTAACTTTAATTTGGAAATGCAAATGAATGTTTGTGTTTGTTATGATAGGCAAGTGACTACAGTCTTGAATTTCAATGTGTTGTTCTCATGAATAGAACGACTCTGAGCTAAATAGGAACCACCGCATATTATTATACTTAAAGGCAACGAGACAAATAATACAGACATGCAGCCTGGCTGGCATACACAAGATATGCTAAGCAGCCGGAGGTGCAAAACAAAAGTGCAGTGTTGAACATGCAGTGCATATTTCAAATCAAATAACAACCTCTCTCTTCAGTTAATCCCGCCTCTGAAAGTCGAACTCTGCGCTGTGCTATCAATACTCACGGCTCAGGCACAGGACTAAATTTAAGCCTGTGTGAATAATTAACATGCTACACTAAGCTTGTTATGCGGAAATGAAGCTGCGAAGGTGAAAAACTCTGTTTTCATCAAAGTAAAGGAGGAGGTACGCCAAACAAGACAGGTTCTTTTAATACTATTTGTGTTTCCGTGCAATTGAAATTCAGAAGCGGACTCATAAATGATGGAATGCATCTGGAATCCAAAATGTAGGTTACGGAAAAAAAACCTAAAAATAGCAAATCCATGAACCAGTTTTTAAATACACACGACCTCATTATAATTACAACAATCAATGTTAAAATATTTAATCACGATTGATGGCATCGTCGTCTATAATTATTTACTGTTAAGAAGGATTTTTAATTTTTTAATATTGCACATTTCCATCTATTCCTATTGTTAAGAAGGATTTTTAATTTTTTAATTTTTTTTATGCAAATGTCACTTACTACTTTTTGCCACGATTGAAAACAAGGACAAATATGGTGCAGGAAATTCTCAAGCACAATCTCAGAGGTATCACCTCCTCAAAATAAATTGTAGAATGTATACGGGGCAAAAATACGCAGAAAAGCTTCGAGATTTGTTAGAAAGAACGATTCAATCGCTGATTTCTTCTGTATTTATTTGGTGACAGATTAAGTTGGATGTTGAATTATTGTCCACAATTTAAATATTTCTGGGCTTGAGACTGACGCAGTAACACCCTTTGCATCGACAAAAAATATGTGGAGTTCCATCTGGATTTCAAAAGTATTTGTTTATACATGATTGTTTCTGTCATCCAAACTTTACTACTAGGTTGCTTGATTACTTTACTACCACATTTCAATACTATTTACTCCTCATCACCTACACTAACACAGCGGTAACATCATAACATACTGGAACCAGATGGCTACACAGGGCGAGGACAACGTAAACCTAGGAACCCCTCTACTACTGTAGTAATACTATAAATACTTCAATCAATAGCACCATCTATCACAGTTCAGGATGCAAATACACAGAATGACCACAAATCAATCATTTGCCCCATATATTGGACAACAGATAGTTTTTACAGCACAGCGCGGCTATCCAGAGGAAACGTGTCACGGCGATCGTTTCTGCAGACGCACAGATCAGTGACTTTTACTGAGCCCCAGGTGTATTGGCAGATGGATTTAGCCCACTATCACTGAGGGCAGACAACCTTGTCATTTACTTCATGGGTTACGGGATTGTAACTGTACATTTTTAAATCCGATTTTTAAAAAAATAAACACAGACACGGTTACGTAGGCAATCTCCCTTGATCACACTGAGTAACTCATAACCTCCATCCCACCTGAGCCTTGAAGGGAAAGGTCACCAGCCTCCCTAGTGACAGCTGTCAGAGGCAGCGGGGCAGTGTCAACTCATCCAATAATAACAGCCTGAAAGGTTGTGAGAAAATATAGCGAGACCTTTTCTTCCCTCTGACTTCTCACCACTGGATTGGCCAAGGCCCTCATAACAATTTCAGCCCAGCAGGGGGCAACTTATTAGCAGATATAATGGTCGACATATAGTAAGACACAAACAAAAGCCTTGAATATACTTTAAGACAAAATTATTATTTTTTTGTTTCTTATGGTGTTGGTATAAATTTGTCGTGCTGCATTTTCTTTTTTTTCAGTTGCTTCTTACCTGTCGGGAGCAGGAGGGCGTCCATTGCGGAGTTTGTTGACCTGAGCGTACACAGCTTCTACAGGCGCACCATTGCCGTGGACATGTGTGGGCAGCGGAGGATTCTGGGGACTCTGAGGCAGATGGTAGGGGTGACTGTACGTGTCCATGCTGCTGCTGTCCACCGAAGAGTCCAGCGATCCAATGCCAGCATAGGTGTGCTCTTCGTCGGAGCTGAAGGTGCGGCTGACCACGTCCTGGATCTCGGCATATTCCCTCTCCTTTGCCTGTTTCTCACGGAGCTCCCTCATCTTGGCCTGAATTCTAAAATGGAAATTTAGAAGAGAAGGATTTTTACACAGCCATAACCAATATTTGTAGCTTGAATAAAAAATAATCAACTGCAGAAACGTGTAAAAGTAACTGTCACTGTGTCCCACTTTGGCCCTGTACCAAATGACCTATAGACTGGTACTGGGCCGCGGACCGGGAGTTGGGGAGCCCTGATCTATACAGACTTCCATTTAAATGGCCCCTTCAAGGGGAACTGTATTGCTGATGTGGCCCCCAGTGAAAATGAGTAACTGTAAACCCAAAAAACCCAAAAATGTCCGAACACAACTGGTTTACGTACATGAACAAAAATAGAAAAAAAATGGCAGTATTACTCAAATATCTGGTTTTCAATGAGCCGGAAAAGTCCAGATAACAAGGAGGAGGGCTGGAAGGAATACAGTTCCTCCGTCATCTGTCTCACACCTTTTTCTCCACCACTGCCGTCCCTCACCCCAGGACCACTTCTAGACAACGGAGCTTTTCACTGAACCTCCCCTGTCTCAGAGAACGGTTCCGTTTGACTGCCCATCTGTCGGCAGCTAACAAGTGTTGCATGTTTTCCTGGAGAGCTCAGGGTGTAAGGAAAGGGAGGTGTATGTCGGGGAGTGGAAAGGGAAAGGGGGTAAAGGGCAATCCAGAGGGGGGCGGGAGCTGACCTCCCACTGTGGTGGGCCAAGCAGCAGCCAACAGACCGCTCACTGGTACCAGATGTTAGAGCCGAGCTGTGGGCTAACACACATCCATACGCAGGGATGTGAGCACAATACCTCCTACTTTTGCCATGGACTTCCGTCACCTGAGGTCATAAGTGACCTCTGACCTTAGACTCTGCCTGTCACGACTGACTGACAGTGGGAACATATCTGGAAAAAAAAAACCCCTTGAGCTCGATTCTGTCCTCCGTGTCTGTGTATTTTAATCACAGTAATCCCATTTGAAACAATCACCATCTTTCAGAGTCAGATTAAGCCAATCCCCACATCCTACCATTGGCTTTGGCCTTGTTTATTTTTAGCCAATGAAAATCCCATTTTCTCAGCTTATCTGTAGAAACAAATTCTGACAGGGGCCTGATGCAACGTTGCATGATATGCCGTCATCTTTAAGGCCTCTATGATTTTTATATATATATATATATATTTGTAGCACATACACCATGGAACCGATCTCCCCTCACAGCACAGTCCTTTCACACCCGATGTGGCCTTACTGTACATTAGCTCATGCTGTCAGGAAAGAACGCTGTCCAAATACAAGGAAGAGCTAATTCCCACAAGCCCTTTCACCTGCCATCTGGCTAAAGTGATGTCAGATCTTGGGCGGAAAGCACCAGACAATGATGTTACCACTGGTTCACGGAAGTCCACAGGGAGCGTGAGACCCTCTGGCGTTTTAAGGACTAATCAGATTCATAAAAACGGTAATATTGACATTTGGGATGAGATAATGGCCCTGGCTAGACTGGCAACTAGAGGCTGAGAGAGAGAGAGAGAGAGAGAGGGAGGAAAAGAAGGCAGACAATCTGTTTTTCCAAAGCTTGATTCTGACTGGCAGGAATATTTAAGGCATTAGGAAGCAAAAAGTACAGTCAGAATCACTCTGGTTTTATGGAGTGCAAACTCAGTTCTCTAATGAGATTCAGTTTCAGGTTTTTTTTTTTTCAGTTTGGCGTGAAGCAGGGTTCCCAAAAGACCAGGCTGGGAACCAGTACAGGGCCGTGGATAATATGTTATCTGGCCACACAGCAAGCATAAAAAAACGTTTTTTTTGGGTTTTTTTTTTCGATTTAATTCAGTATTTTGGGATTTTATTTTGAAATCTGCTCTTCTTTTCAGCTTTTTTAGCACTATTTTTGTAATATCCTAAAAGTATATTCTATACAAAAGCAAACATTATTTACATTACATGTAACAGTTCAAGAACATGATGCATTTTATTGTGATTTTTGTGTGGTATGTGGTGCAAAAAAATCCTTCAAAAATCCTTATTCCCTAAATCTTGCACACTGTTCATCCCTGTCAATGCTCAGAGAACGGCCATATTATAATTGAATTAATTAATTATTATTATTATTATTCATGTGTGTCAATGAATATGAAAATGAGGACAGAGTTGAGTTTCTATATGTGTTACACATACATTTTCTGAGAACTTCTATTGATGTGTATCAAAAACCATGTTAAAGAAGCATGACAGTGTAACATCTGTTCAAACACCTACAGATCTGGAACAATTTTTTTTTTCACTTTTCAATCCTGCAGAATGAAAACAATTTTTGTGGTTTCCTGCAAAAAGAATCCTTCAGATTGTGGTCATGAATATTTTACCGCCATATTATAAAAGGTGAAAACTCTAAGCACTTGGGTCCTAGTTCTGTCACCTGTCGTTGCCTTATTCCATAAATCTTGCACACTGTTCATCCCTTAATGCTCAGAGAACGGCCATATTATGACATTAGGTTAAAAGTTAGTAGAATGGAAAAACAAAATAGTTTTCTGGCTTTAATGCGATCCCTAGTTTAAACCTTTAACACTTCCCAAATGTGTTCTTCTCGGGCAATCTGCAGAAGCTGCCACAAGTCCAAGACCCCCACTCCCCTCCCTCCCCTCAGGGACCGCCCCCTAACTGTACTGTGTATATACTCCATTAGTCAATTAATGGCCCAGTGTGTTAACACGGACGAATGTGCTGCCCACACTGAACATGTTATTACTCTGCAGCCCCAATTACCCGCACCTCTTCTCTTACAAGACACTAAGAGGAGACGGAACGGTGGAAGTTTTAATTCAGTGTGAGTTTCAATTAATTTTTCACCCAACACACACACACACACACACACACAGAGGTAAGTAGTCTGAGGTGTTTTCGTGTTGCCTTTTGATTTACTCTATATTCTTTGGAGCACTGACCTGCACACGTAGCTTTAATTAAAGAGATGCGACTGCTGTTCTCTCTTACTTGTCCTTTATATCAGTGCAGTCAAAAGGCATTTCCTACTGGACCTCAGAGTCTAGACACTTTAATGATGAGGTTTCAGGTCAATTGAAGTTTAACTACTGATTCACACACCGGCCACGTCTTCCACAAAACAATGTCACGGATAGCTCACAGTGTGTGTTGTCCTTCTGACCCCTCGTTCTCTGGAGAATATTGGGTGTTGTTTTTTTTATTTTTTGTTCAGTGCTGAGGAAAATATCAAGTTCAAAATAGACAAAAACAAATAAATAATACAGGTCACTGTTTTCTTACACTGATTTAGTCCAGTATAAGAGTATAAGAGGAGGCATTAAGAAGTCTGTATTTGAGGCCATGTGCTAAAACAAAAATGCATATTACACCTTAATGTGTTATAATATCATTATTATGATTAATATGTTATTGCTATTTATCATTATTTATTAATATATTATTTATTATTATTAGGATTAATATTGTTATTATTATGATAAATATATTATTGTTATTTTATTTTAATTTTTATTGGATTTTTGGTGGTTTTTTGGGGTTTATTACAGGCTGCGCCTCAACTAAATAATGCATAATCTAAAGTGATAGATTGATTTATTATGTTTTTTTTATAGAATTACTATGTACTGAGAAACACATTATACTTGTTGTTATGCTGTGTTTATTATTGCATTATTTTGGACCACCAAACCAGAATCAGCTGCATATGTTCGTGTATGCTAAAACTTCTCAAAGACAAGGGCCAGTCTGGATTCCCAGACACTCATTTTAAAGTCAGCAAACTCTCCGACTCTTCAATATTCATAGTCGCCACGACGGATGAAACAGAATGTATTTGCACTTCTATTTTCTCAGACAGCTGCTCGACTACACCTTTTTTTTGTTCCGGTGCTCCTCATCAAAACGTGCTCTTTTGTTCTGAACTGCTGCGTGTTGAATCTGAATCTAATCAGAGCGGCAGAATCACGAACCTTTACTAGATCATCTTTAGTGTTTACCTGGACCAGCGTCGTCCAGTCACAGAGATTTAAGTCTCCCTCAAACAGTAAATAATGACATTAACTTCATTCAGAATTCCAAATATAATCGCATTTACCAGTGAGCTGACTGTAACTTACCGCGACGTGCTATAAAACTGTCGTCCAAGACAAGTCTGATTCACTTTTGTGGTTTGCGTTTCAAAATAACTGCTGACTGACCGTTTTCAGACACAGTTTCTTCAGAGATTTCTTTATTAAGAAAGTCAGCGAGCAGCCGTGTAACAAATAAGAGGAAGCAGACCACGGTTGAGGGGGAAGAAAAGCTGGCGCGTCTGAGAAATAGGAAAAATGAAAAGTGGCAGTGGAGTGCTGGCCGGTGATTAGAAGCCAACGAGAGCCAAGCAGATAAGAGAGGATGGACATCATAATCAGCGGCCAGACAGAAAGACAGAAAAAACAAAAAAGTTCAGTTCAGGCAGGAAAAGAGGAACGTCTGTGGTGAGGTTTGTGTTTGTGTGCCCACTTTGACCAGGAAATATGGCTTTGGTGCTGGCGTTGGCTGAGATAAGTGAGGGTCTGATAGAAGCTCCTCCAACACCACCTGTCCTGCGTTTCTGCTTTTTACTCCATTTCCCCGTCGGCTCTGCATCCACGCGGCCAAAGCCGGAGAAACAACACAGCCGGGCTCCGATCCGAGTGCTTGTCTACATAGTTCTCTCAACATGAGCCAATCAGACAAGGGTGTTTTGGGTGCTGTCCACGGGCATTAAAAACAAGAGAGATGGCCGCCGCCGCTGGGCAGGGCAGTAATTAAGATCAGCCTAACCACAGGTTCTAATGCTGCTTTGATGAGCATGAAAGAGTCAATCACTGGATAAGATCTGCCAGATTGTAGCAAAAACAAATGTCCCTGACAGCCACTTTTATCAGGTCACAACACTCGCTGCAGTAATTAAGGCAGATTGTATGGAGCCTGCTCTCTATCACTTTGCCGATGCTTCCATAAGTGGTTGACTGCGTCTTAATTAGGAGACCGTTTTACTCAAAATAAACATGTCGCATCTTAAAGGCCTAAACTATTTCCTTCATAGTTTAGATTAAGGTCAGCCTTTGAACATAAAACCGTCGTTGGCTTATTACAGTGGGGACATGCCAGGTTCTATCAGCGCCATTCTGACTCACTAAAAGCCCCTTATCAAAACTGTCTGCTTCAATTAATGACTTCTAATGTCGGCCGGACTGGGAGTCTGGCCGCGACCCATCAGACACGGCGCTGACACATCACCCTCCCAGATAAATGCCACGCTCAGGAACCCCAAACAGTCTAATCCCAGATTTCATAAACACACTGCGAAATTGTCCCGTCACCGTAGGAGCGGTGTAATCAATCTGAGTGCGGACCGAAGCTGAGACCTACAACAATCAAACGCAGCACCTTTGGGAGCGTAATATAGTAGTGCAACCAAAAATACAAGAAGTAATGGATTT